TCTCACTTTGATGCTAACACATTCTTAAGCCCCTTTATGAAACTTGCCAATTTAATTTCCCTTGTAAACAGAGGAGCATATGGCTCAAGGCTGAAGCCTTTATCAGACAACAGAATCCAGACAGGATTTAATAGTAATTGTTTTTTAAGGCAAATGATACTAATTCTTCAGTTCTGGTAGAGATACAAATATTTATTTTAAAGAAAATTAACTTTTACAAGGCATTATGAGGAGGGGAACTGACTTTTTGGGGGGTGTAGAATCGCTTCATAAATTATATAAATATCTAACCACTATACTGTACACCTGAAATTAATATATTAAAAGTCAACTGCAATTGAGAAAATTTTTGAAGGCATTATTAAAGTTTGTTATATATATTTTACCACAATTAAAAGTAAACAAAAAAGCACGGTATTAAGTAAATAATAGCGGAGGGTGGAATGCAGCCATAACCAAAAGCACCAAGGTGATATAGAAAATACTGACATTTGGGGAATAAATGGCTATGGTATGGCATCACTAGTTTAGCACAGAGATAGAAAGTGTTCAAATTTAATTTCCATCTTACATTAAAACTAATGTAAAAAATATATGTAATAACAAACTGCATTTTTATGGTGACAAAAAAAAACCCTAAGATTTGTAAGCTTAACACCTTATAACAGTTAAATTCACTTATGACTATAATTGACTACATACAATTTTATGTACATAGACTATGATTATATATGGCTATAATTTATTAACCGATGCCAATACCATAAAAATAGATAATTCCCTACTACCAAAAAGTCTTACCACAGATTTCATAATTTGTAAGCTTTAAATGATAATATAAAAATATTTTGCCCTGGCTGGTGTTTCTCAGTGGTTAAGAGTGTTGGCCTGTACACCAAAGAGTTGCAGGTTCAATTCCCAGTCTAAGGCACATACCTGGGTTGTAAATTCAATCTCCAGCCCCAGTTGGGGTGTATGCAGGAAGCAATCTCTCTCTCCCCTTACCTCTCTCTCTCTCTCTCTCTCTCTCTCTCTCTCTCTCTCTCCTCTCCTCTCCTCTCCTCTCCTCTCCTCTCTCTCTTTTCTTCCCCCCATTCCCTTTCTTCCCCCCCCCCTTCCACTCTCTCTAAAAATCAATAGAAAAAATATCCTCAGGTAAAGATTAGCAAAAACAAATAATGGTAATAAAATAAAAATATTTTGTGATGAAAGCACTTCTATATTTAAAATCATAAGTTAGGGCTAATAGTAAGTAAACCAGTAAGTGAACCAAATGTCATTGATACTCCCCACTGTCAAACAGCAGCTGTGACAAATGCTACAAAGGAGAGGTACATGTTTTTGTAAGGGCTTATAATAGGCGTAATTTGACCTAGGCAGGCTTCCTTGTGATGAGAGGATGTCAGCAGCAAAACAACAAGGTACAAGAGACATGACCAAAGTCAGAAGACTGAGACTGGGCTGGGGAGTGTGGGTGCTCACTGTCACAGATATGGAGTTTACCTTTATGCCAAGAACAATGGGAAGACAGCTGAAGGGCTTTCACAGCAGAGCAACCCTCCTGGTCAGATCTGTGTTCTGAAAGGTTTGCTCTAGCTACCATGTGGCAACCCACCAAAGAGGAATCAGAAAACAGAACCAAAAATTAAATTAATAACACATAAAATAATTGAGAAACTCCTGAATCTATACCAAATAAATAATGATCAACAGGAAGGAAGCTCAAATAAATATCTGGTTTTAAAGCAAAAATCAAAAGATAACACTACACTTTTATTTAGGTATATAATACAAACATTTTATAGACTATGAACAATATGAAACTTAATCCTTGGAACATATCAGAAAAGTCATAATTTCTTGGTTATACGTCAGGTGGCCTCCCTACCTCAAGGGCTTTTGAGTAAAGAGGAATGAGCTCTTGAAGGAGTTCTCCAGGGTGGATGGCTGAGTACCAAGAACTGAGGCTCTGGTTACTTACCGCTTCCCAACCAAAGCTTTCTTTTAAGTTTTACATGATAACCTTCTAATAGGTTTAACTGAAGAAATAGTTTTGCTATTAAAACCACATCAGAAAACCAGTGTAAACACCTGCAGCCTCTAGAAACCAGTTAAGAGATCAGAATCCTTTGGTGGGACCATAGTGCCTCAGAGGACTACACCATATGGTTCCTGTTTGGTCTAAACTTCTAATTCTGATCTCCTTCATGAAAGTCAGTATTCAGAAACAGGCCCCTGTCTGCTTCTAATCCTCCTCAAAAAGGTTCCACTTCTCAGTCACACTGGCACATCCAGCAGAATGCTAAAAGAGAGAAAGGGGAAAAAAGGAGGGAATAAGGTAAGGGAGAAGGGAAGAGAGAATACAGGGGTGGCAAGGTGGCAAGGACCCAGAGCATAGCTGGTGGGAGTGTAGATTTGCACATTCATGTTGGAAGAGTTGCAATGCAATGTCCACAAAATCTCAGCAATTGCACTCCTAGAATATACACAACAGAAATGCATGCATAGGTCTAATCACCAAAAGACATGTATACAAATGCTCCTAGCAGCACTGTTTCTAATAGCCACACATGGCAAACATTCCACATGCTTATCAAAAGTAGAATGGAAAAGAAAATGACATATATTCATATGATGAATACAGCAATGAGACTAAATCAACTACACCTACAAACAAAAACATGATGAATCCCACATAGGTAATGAAGGAAGAAGACAGACCAAGAGAGTATACAGAGAGTTTTCATCAAACCTATCTAATAAAAGAGAAACATGGTAATTAGCTGTACATATGCTACCCTTCTCATTGGCTAATCAGGGCGATATGCAAATTAACTGCCAGCCAAGATGGCGGCCGGCAGCCAGGCAGCTTGAAGCTAACATGACGCTTGCTTGCTTCAGTGACAGAGGACTCCAACGTTCCCCGCCGGCCTTGCCGGCCTCTGAGCTTGCAGTTTGAAACATTGTTACAAATATAGAAGCTAAACAAAACCCCAGAAACCTGCTTTCAGCCAGCCGGGATCTCAGAGCTGGAGTTGAAACAGTGTTTCGATTATAGAACCCAAACAAACCAGATACCTGCTTTCAGCAGCAGAGGCCTCAGAGCTGGAGCCAGAGCTAAAGATGGCCCAGAATAAAAAAAAAGAAAAAGAAAAAGAAAAAAAGGAGCAGTTGGGACCTTCAGTCACCCGCCAGCCTGAAAACAGCCCTCAGCCCCTCACCCAGACTCGCCAGGCACCCCAGTGGGGACCCCCACCCTGAAGGGAGTGTGACCAGCTGCAAACAGCCATCATCCCCTCATCCAGGCTGGCCAGGCACCCCAGTGGGGACCCCCACACTGATCCAGGACACCCTTCAGGGCAAACCAGCCGGCCCCCACCCGTGCACAGGGCCTCTATCCTATATAGTAAAAGGTTAATATGCCTCCCAGCACAGGGATCAGCGGAGCCGCGAGGCCTCCCGGCACTGGGATCAGCGTGACAGGGGGCAGTGCCCAAACCCCCTGATTGCCCTGCGGCTCTGTGTGTGACAGGAGGCGGGGCCACAACCTCCCTATCCACCCTGCTCTGTTCGTGACAGGGAAAGGCGCCCCAACCCCCTGATCAGCCCTGCTCTGTGCCTGATAGGGGGGAGCTCCCCAACCCCCTGATTGCCCTGCGGCTCTGTGTGTGACAGGGGTGGCGCCCCAACCCCGATCGGACCTGCTCTGTGTGTGACAGGGTGCGGCGCCCCAACCCCCCCACCCCCACCCCATGGGCCCTGCTCTGTGTGTGACGGGGTAGAGCCATAACCTCCCCATCGGCCCTGCCCTGAGTGTGAGAGTGGCGGCGCCCCAACCCCCTGATCGGCCCTGCTCTGTGGGTGATAGAGGGCGGCGCCCCAACCCCCTGATCCGCCCTGCTGTGTGTGTGACAGGGGGCAGTGCCCCAACTCCCCTATCGGCCCTACTCTGTGAGTGACAGGGGGGAGCTCCCCAACACCCTGATCGGCCCTGCTCTGTGCGTGACAGGGGGGAGCTCCCCAACACCCTGATCGGCCCTGCTCTGTGCGTGACAGGGGGGAGCTCCCCAACCCCCTGATGGGCCCTGCTCTGTGCGTGACAGGGGGGAGCTCCCCAACCCCTGATCGACCCTGCTTTGTGAGTGACAGGGTACGGAGCCCCAACCCCCCTGATGGGCCCTGCTCTGTGAGTGACAGGGGGCAGCGCCCCAACCCCCTGATTGGCCCTGCTCTGTGCGTGACAGGGGGTGGCACCGCAACCTCCCCATCAACCCTGCCTTGAGTGTGACAGGGGACGGTGCCCCAACCCCCCAATCGGCCCTACCCTGAGCGTGACTGAGGGTGGCATGGCAACCACCCGATCCGCCCTGCTCTGTGCATGACAGGGGGCGGCGCCTCAACTCCCCAGTCAGCCCTGCTCTGAGCCCGACCAGGGGCTGCACCTAGGGATTGGGCCTGCCCTCTGCCACCCGGGAGCAGGCCTAAGCCAGCAGGTTGTTATTTCCCGAGGGGTCCCAGACTGCGAGAGGGCACAGGCCAGGCTGAAGGACCCCCCTCCACCCCCCACGCCGAGTGCACAAATTTTTGTGCACCGGGCCTCTAGTCCTATATAATAAAAGGCTAATATGCAAATTGATCAAACGGCAGAATGACCTGTCACTATGATGTGCACTGACCAACAGGGTTCAGATACTCAATGCAGGAACTGCCCCCTGGTGGTCAGTGCTCTCCCACAGGGGGAACACCCCTCAGCCAGGAGAGCAGCTACGGTGGCGGGAGCCTCTCCTGCCTCCACAACAGTGCTAAGGATGTCTGACTGACGGCACAGGCCGGCTCCCTGGGCCTAAGCCATCAGTCGGACATCCCCAGAGGGCTCCCGGACTGCGAGAGGGTGCAGGTCTAGCTGAGGGACCCCCACCCCGAGTGCACGTATAGTTTATATATAATGGCCTCTATAGTTTCTTTATATATGATGTTCAAAAACAGACACAACTCAGAAGTCATTTGTGGAAATAATCACAATCTTTACCTTAATACTAAACCCAAAATGAATCACGTACATAAATATTAAGAGCCAAAAACTCCTGTAAGTAAACCTAGCAGAAAACCTTAGTGACCTTGGGCTTGGCAAAGATTTCTTAGATACACACAGAATATAAACTACTAAAAAAAAAAAAATCAATAAGTTGGATCTCATAATGATTTACATTATCTGTGTACTTTCCCATATGTATTCAATAAAAAGATTACTAAAAATTAAATTTTTAAAAAAATAAAGCATAAGGAGGGAAGACAACATAATCAGCCACTGTCATCTCACCACTCAGGAAAACTACATACAACTCAAATACATTACCCTACAAACTAAGAAACAAAGCCAACAGAGGCAGAGTGGGGGGCTGGAAAAGGTAAAAATAGTTATCAGTAAATGCCCTACCCTTAAAGCTGGATGGGGAGGGGAGAGTACAATGGAGACCCTTCTATAAAATCTGACTCTTCCCAAGACTACTTAGTTCACCACAGAGATATGGAGGAAAGCACATTCAACATAAGAGCAAATAAAAGACACCTTCGTCCTACATCCTCTTCCACTGAATATCCTTTATTTCCTTCCCTCTTCATCTCCCATCCCTATTTTTTTATTTTCTCCTTATTCTTCCAGGCTTCTCCTTTTGCTTTCTGCAACCACGCATTATTATCATACGCCCTTTTTCTCTTCACTTAAGAGGAATCCAAAATAAGAAAAAGAGTTAAAATACACATGCAAAAATAGCATAGGTTCTTGACGTGTTTCATATATCCTTATATTGGGGGAGGGACAACATACAATCTTTATTACTTCACAACAATCCCGATTATACAGCATTGTTAAAATATAGGCCACAGCATAAATATTTTTATACTTTTTCCCTCTCTCCCTTTCTCCCTTCTCCTAAAAAAGGTAGCTAGCAATTTGTCAATTCAAATATATGCTAGCTATGTGGGATGCTAATTACCTAGGCTATCATTTCTTATTTATTCCAATATATGGACCCTTTTCCTTTTAGTATCTGTTCCCTGAGAAAATGCAAACGTCGTAGGCACTAATATTTAGTTAACTTTTGACTGTGAAGCTTATTAATTACAAAAACATCCATATACATTTACATAAAACCATAGCAGGTGCAGGCAATGCTCAATGTGAATGTAGATCTTCAGCTTCTCAGGACCCTCACCTCGCAAACTGCTCAGCCCTCTCTGCAGTCAGTCTAGATGGGTTAGGAACCGTGGGTCTGTGCACTCTGGGCTCACCACTTGTATAATGAGTTGTCCAATTTTGGCCCAGCCGGTGTGGTTCAGGGGTTGAGCATCAACCTACGAACCAGGAAGTCACGGTTCAATTCTGGTGAACCAGGTCACAGTTCAATTCCCAGTCAGGGCAACTGCTGGGGTTACCAGCTCGATCCCCACTGTGGGGTGTGCAGGAGTCAGCCGATCAATGATTCTCTCTCATCATTGATGTTTCTATCTCTCTTTCCCTCTCCCTTCCTCTCCGAAATTAATGAAAATATTTTTAAAAAGAGAGTTAGCAATTTTGCTCATGAGTTAACTGAAGAAGTTAACTGAAGAAGTACTAGTACAGTCTGACAATAATGACAGTACAACAAAGTGCTTTCTGTTCACTCAGGATCTTTCTGAGATGATTTGTCTGAATCCTCCCAACAGCCTTTTTTTTAATCCTCACCCAAGGATATGTTTATTGACTTTGAGACAGACAGACAGACAGACATCAATCAGCTGCCCCCATACACACCCATAGCAGAGACTGACCCCGAAACCTCTTGATGTACAGGACAATGCTCCAACCAGCTGAGCCACCCAGCGTGGACAAAATGTGTGCGCTCACTCTCTCTACCCACATAGAACCGGAATTCAAAAAATGTTCAATAAGGCTCTGGATGGATAGTTCCGTTGGTTAGAGCACTGTCCCCATCTGCCAGGGCTGCGAATTTGATCGCTGGTCAGAGCACATAAAAGAATCAACCAACCCAGCTGGTGTGTTTCAGTGGTTAAGCATTGACCTATGAACCAGGATGTCATGGTCCAATTCCTGGTCAGAGCACATGCCCAGGTAATGGGCTCAATCCCCAGTAGGGGGCATGCAGGAGGCAACCGATCAATGATTCTCTCTCATTAATGTTTCTATGTCTCTCTACCTCTCTGAAATCAATAAAAACATGTCTTAACAAAAAAATCAACCAACGAATGCATAAATAAGTGAAACAGATGTTTCTCTCACTCACTCAAATCAATAAATAAAAAATTTTAAAATAGTAAAAAGTTTTTTAAAATAAAAATAAAAAAATTTTAATAAATTATTAATACCTTTTTTCTAGCTATTATTATTACTATTCCTCTTCCCCATTTACTCTACCCCATAAATTTCCAAATCCCAGGAGTGTTCTAGATTGGAAAAGAACAAAACTTGAAAACCCAGTTTTTGCATCAAATAAATATACGCTTTTTTTTACATTAAATGGGGTAGATGAGGAAATAAAGCTGTGCATGGCTCTGTCCCTATCATATTTAAGATGAATACACTGCTTCATTCAACAGGCACTCAATTAAAAACAATATACTAATAGTAAAATTTACTCTTAAAATTTGTAAGAAGGATACTCTCTTGAAACAGATATGCCTTCCTCTTACCTGGCAATAACATACAAATCAGGCATCATATTGTTTTAATTCATTCAATAATATTCTCTGCTCCTAATTTTAAAAATGCTTAAGTTGAGATTTTCATTTCTCTCCAAAATATAAAACCATAAAAAAGTAACCTTTTGTTCTTCCATTGGCTTTTGTCCTATGAGTCAGCCATTCTAAACAAAACAGTAGTATTCCATGCCTCCACTACAAAACGACATTCGTTGGGACCTCCACTATTCTATTAAAGGTAAATATATAATTTTAAATTTCATGGTGGCATTGAGAACTATTATTTTAACATTTTCTAATCTAGGCCCCACATAAAAACCTTCAAAATTCCATTATCAGATTACTTCGAGTCATATTTGTATTTTTCAATGAAAGATTTTTAAGAGTCTACAAAAATAAGTTTTCTCTTTTGTTGTTTTGCTTTTCACAAAATTGTCTAGAAAAAAACAATAATTCAATGAATACTAGCTGTCACAAGACTAGAAATTCCCATTAAGGGGGTCACATATAAGACATGGAAAAATTATTAGGAACATCACATAACTGCTGTTAGAAGTATTGTTTCTCCACTTGGTTTCCTGAAATACCTAAAGATCACTCTGTACTGCACACAGTGAGCAAAATCAGCTGTGACGAATGATAACTTGGTTCCTTACAAACAAGTAGCTTTCCTCTCTTTAAAGAAAGAAGACCGGGTTTCTTTTTCATCCTTCCCACTAAAAAATAAATGGCAATACTGACCATTCGTAAATTCCAAATATCTTTACGACTCGGGTCAGGCCTCAAGCAAGCAACTTTTTTTAAAATGCTAGTCAAAGACTTATAAATTTTAGGTAAATGGTAAACAAAGAATTAAAAAATTAAAACAAAGAATTAAAAAATATTGCTACATGGCACTACAAGCTATTAAACTCCTGGGCAGAATATAGTGTTACTAGGCCCAAATTTTCTTTTTAACATGGGATTCGTGTTTTTCAAATTCTTCCAAACAAGTTAAAAAGACAAATGATTTGACTATTCATCATTATATGACTTTAAAAAGGGGGTAAGAAAAAGGGTGACCTCTATTTTTAACGTATTTATATTAGTAAAACAATTTCTATGTTTGCAAAGTGTTGGCTGACCCATAAACCACATTTATCACCCATTAAGTCAGCATATCTTAACTTACAAATATATATGTAAGGTATTTGAAATATCAAGCAAAGCAAGAATAACAAACAAAACAAGCAAGCTCTGGTAAAACTCTGTATACAAAGTTGTTATAAGCACAGCAGCTGATTTCTGAACTTTAAAATCATGGCCACATACATCCTCCCTTTCCATTAAATTTAACCACAGGAGCTTAGGTAAAAAATTAAAAATAATAATAAAATAAACAAGTAAATATGATCACCAAAATATTTTAGAATCTTCCCTTATAAAATGTATTTTAACCATTAAAAACCTCACCCATTCCTAATTTCTCAACAATTTGCGTCCATGCTATTCAACCCTCAATTTATCAATAGAGAATTCATGCTTCTCAAAAAGCCAACATAATTATTGCTGTCATGTCATTAAGAATGTTCTTCTTAGGAACAAAACTCAAAGGTTACAGTTGGCACCCAGACCGTTCACTATTTACACCACCACCCTCTCCCCTTCCCATCACAACCATTTTACTGGCAGAACATTCACAAGGCTGAAGATTATGTTCATCTCAGCAAACAGAATGCTTAAAAACGGATGACTAGCCCAAATCAGAAGTTATTAGCTACATAAAAATAAACAAAATGTGCCTAAATTTTTCTATTTTCAATCTCTAAAGAAAGCAGTAACATCTTCCATATTTGCAATGCCCTGAATTATAGCCAGGAGACTTTCACCTAATTATATTAATAAATCAATTTAATGTCATCATTTTGTCATCAGATCATGTCCTCCATACACTAGTGTACTTTAATTAAATCCCTTTTACCATGTTAGGTTCTTCACATATTTTTTCCCAGTGTTTTTCCCATATCATTCCTTACTACCAAATTATTTCTCCATCATGTTTTCCTAAATATTAAATCTATGACCAAAAAAGATAACCCTGAAAACCACAGAAAAGAAAAACCAACACACTTAAAATACAAAATATCAACGTTAGGTATAAACTATTATTAGGTTGTCAAGAGAAAGGTAAGCATCAAGGTATACACCCAAGAACCCCAATTTAAAACATTATATAGTATACAAAATTTTGGTAAACAGAAGTGAACACAATATTTACATAGCAAAATAGGCAACTACAGCCTCATTTCTGACTTGAGATAAAAATACCTTTACTTCTATGTATTAAGTAAGTAGCCATTTTAAGGAAATATCGCCTTACAGGTACAATAATTTGATTGACATATAAAATAATTGCTTTAAAAATACTTGAGTCATTTTGTCCTTACCTGCAGGCATGAACCATTACTGCATGCAGTGACTGTTCCATCTCCTAGCACAGACTTGAAGAAGCATCATATCTCTCTCTCATAATGTGACTAATCTGGGGGTTTGCAATTCCTAAGCTATTTACAAATGGCACTCCCTTTTCACATAAGAAAATATTTATTACAACCAACGTCAAATGTTTTTAACCTAGATCTTATAGATAGTGTCGGTAATTTTGTGTTACAGCAACATCAAAATATAGGAAGAAAATCTAATGCTAGCATTTCCTTAAAGCAAGCACAATTTGTTTGTTTTTTAGCTAAGTAAATTATTTTTAAAGCCTTCAACAGCTGTCACACAGGAACCCGTGGTCTGCTGTGTTATGGTGTGCATGCTGCAGCTGATTAGGCTTCACTATTTTTTAAAAAATCAATTACCCTTTGTAAAAGCAGAACAGCCTGCCCAAATACACATCTTCAATACAGCACAACGACCAGCATGCAGTACAACGCATTATATAGCAAACTTAACAAGAAAATAAAATGTCCTGGTTTGTTTCTTAGCAATGCTACACCATTAATTGTTCATGCAGAGATGTAGCTGTACCTTTCTGAAGAGGACAACTTCTCAGAGTTAACTGACATCAGCAGCTCAATCTTCTGCTTGATTTCTGGAAAAATCAGAAAATATTCACAACCAAGATTGCCTGCCCTTGCTTTCAAGCCTTATATCAAGAGATTTTTCTTCTCTAATCCCTTTTGTTCAAAATGAGGCCACAAGATTCGCAGCACTTCTGCTAGGACTGGGATTCAATGGTGCTATAAAGGGAAAACGCTCCAGAGGCATCAGGCCTTGCTAAACTATGCACATGACTGTTTATGAAAGCAGGAAGTACCATTTCTTTTAAGTAGAGGGGTGTGTTGTTTTTTTTTTAAGGTAGAACTAGGCTGGCCCTACAAGGAGATTTTAAAGGCAACAAATTAAAATGCAAACAAGAAGTGCTAACAACTAGATCCAACATACTAGATCATTTGAGACGCCTGGGTAATAAAGTTACAGGCTGTAATGAACAGATATAAAACCCTTGGCTACTTCTATTTCACCAGTCCTGAAAAATATGGCTCAGTGAATCATTTTTGTCACTTAAGAATGAAATAGTAAACCAGAACCCCAATTTATAGATTGAAATTTTTAACCTGTTATAATTTCCTGGTTGTCTTTAATTAAAGATATATGTAGTATGTACTCCCTACTCCTTTAGAGAAAGACTTGTATTTTACACCTTAATTTCCCCCTCCTCCTTCCCAGTACATACAGCACAAGTGAACAGCAACACCCAGTTACCTAGCACAGAATCTACTTCTCCTTTTAGGAAAGGCCTGACAATGCCATCACAAACAGAAACGTACGCGCCAATTCAGTTCAATTAAACAATAACTGCCTGATACTAATTTGGCAAAAAAGATAACAGACTAAAATGGAAAAAGAGGTAAAAAAAAAAAAAAAAAAAAAGAGGGAGATGGGAAAAGAAAAGGCAAACTAACACATTTCCACTAAAATATTAATGATTAACCTAATGCTCATAATTTTACATGAATAAAACTGACATGGTCTTATTACCCAGACTATTTCACATGTACACTTGTTTTTTTTTTCCCTTTTGTAAATGGGTTTTCCTATTCCTAATTAAAAGTCCACACACCAAAAATAAAACTCACTGCCACTGAAATGCTTTAGGCAGTCTCAGGATTTCAAAATATACTTCAATAGTTTGGGTTTTATTTTTTTGTTTGTTTCTTTTTTAGTGTAAAACAAGTTTTAATTTTTACAAATCTTGACTATGGAAACCAAAGGAATATGAAAAATATAATGGAAAAAGGAATAAAAATTAGTTGCATAAAACACAATGGACCTGTACAGGAATATCCTCTTCATGTTGTTACAATAAGGATTTTTCTAAATTGCTTAAGCTTACTTCACCCAATGAGCACTATAAAACTGGCATGAATGTCTAACGAGAGAACAGAGTCTACCACAGGCTGTAGCCAAGCCGGCTAATCACTGGGGAGAGCACACAGTACTGAGGTAAACTGAAACGATGATAATGAAACTTACCTTGAGGATTCTTATGTGTGTTACAAAGCCTGGCACCTAGTATCATAGTGAATGCTCAGTGATGTCCCTCCTTCCAGTTTAAAAAGAGCCAGTGTTTAAGTGCTCAATCAGGCTCTGCCACCAAGTAGCCTTGGATTCAAAAGCAGGTACCTCTATCATTTTTAATTGCCATATGATTTTGGGAAAATTACTCAAAAACTATAAGCCTCTATCTCCTTTCCTGTAAAATGGGGGTGACAATTCCTATGTGAGGGGCTGTTGTGAGGATTTAATGAAATAATCCATGGAAGTCGTGTAGTGTCATGCTTGGCACATAAGCCCTCTGTGCTTATTACTAGGCAGGTAGTGCCTAACAGAGGACAGTCATCCTAAATATTTGCTGGATGTGTTAATGAGGTATACTAGGTGTGTCCCATTTTAAATAGCCTTTCCACAGCTTTAATCCACCCTTTCTCTCTTACTACCAAGCCTCAACATCTACCTTTTTATCACTAGAGTGTTATTATATGTGGAAATTTAACTTTAACCCATATCTCAGTCTCCCTATCTAGAGAAGTATTCCCAGTTAATCAAGTAGCAACTTCAGAAATGAGCTTACACCGGAATGTCTTCATGGTAGCAATTCTTCATTGCAAAAAGTTGACACTTCAGGGTATCTATATAAAAGCTGTGCACTGAACCTGAAAACCCTCAAGATTAAACTACACAGCTCAAATGAAGTTTATGCCCAACTTGTAATGTTAGAAAGAAAAGTTAAAGCTCTAAACCATTTTCTGACTGGTGACTCTGGGATCTCCAAACCAAATTGTTTCAAATCATTTTCACATTTTCATCAAACCTTCAGATTTATTTATAGCTCCAGAAGGATTGAAAGGTTCAAGAATGTTCACAAATACTGTGTTAACACCACATCCTTTCAGGCCCATGTGTTCCATCTACGTTACTACCTACTCAACTAGAGACCCGGTGCATGAAAATCATGCACTCAGGGGGGTCCCTCAGCCTAGCCTGCACCCTCTTGCAGTCAGACATCCTTAGCGCTGCCACAGAGGTGGGAGAGGCTCCTGCCACTGCCGCTGTGCTTGCCAGCCATAAGCCCAGCTTACGGCTGAGCAGCGCTCCTTCTGGATTGAGTAGCTGCCCCCTGGTGGTCAGTGCACATCATAGTGACCAGTTGTTCCACCAATCGGTTGATTTACATACAGTAGGTCCTTGAGTTACATCGGCACAATGTAACGCGATTTTCGCTGTAAGTCGGAACCCACCTACATAAGCACCTATGTCACACACATGGAGCACATACACAGCAGTAATGAAGTGAAACAGTAAAAAAAATTTAAAAGAAAGATAACAATTCCTGGCCTTTACTTGTGGTAAATAATAAAAAACATAAAGCACATATGTACATATGTCAAAATGACGAACTTTTATTTTTAAATAAACAGGAGACGGCGATGTAACCACAAAACAACTTACATCAAGTCCAACGTAGCCTGAGGACTGTATTAGCCTTTTATTATATAGGATGCCTTATCAATACCACCATGGGTCTGATTACTCCTACAGTCTCTTTAAGAACTCCAAAAGCTATGCCACTGAGTTTCACTCCACCACAATTCCTCCATAACCCTTGGGGACTTTGATGTCCATGTTGGTGTGACTTCTGAAAACCCTTGGCTAAGAACAGTGGCCTCCTCAGCAGTTCCCGTAGTCTCCTGAACCTCTGATCACCTGAATCATCTACATCATGACCACATGTAGTATGCTGTTACACACACTGCAAATACTTCCCCAAAGTTAGCTGGTTGTTTTTCTATTTTATTCACAGTATCCAGGACCCTATACTTTATTTTTCTTCAATTAAGTCCAGTAATCTTTCCCTTTATGAATTATGTCTTCCTGTTAAGTCTTTTACCACACCAAAATTTTTAGAATTGTCATCATACTGTCCTCTAATATGCTTTGTAATTTTATTTTACATGTAAATATTGGACCCTTCCAGAATTTGTTTTTGTCTATAAATTGATGAAGACTTCCAGTATGCTTTTCATGGTCACATTTTAAAACCTTATACCCCACCATACCCCCCCAATTCTCAATTACTCTTCACCACCACTCCTCAGTCCTTCCAAAGCAGCAGTACTTACAACCTTGTAAATATATATTTATTCAAACACCCACTATCTCCATTTCATACATTCAGGCCAATGAGTACCAAAAGAGACCACAGGTCCTTATTTCACAAAGAAAATAAGCAAGTGTAATTTGAAGAGCATATTTAAAATTATGGTTAACCTGATTTTTAGTCATTATTTTGCTTTAATTTCTAAATAATAGTACAAAACAACATAAGGATTTTTTAAATTTTTTTTTATGTTTTTACGATTCTCCTGCTAACTCTGGGTCCTTTGCTGGATCATCTCTTTTCACCAGACCTTCAAATGTTGGTGATTCTGGCATGACCCTCTTTTGACTCACTGACTCATCTATCTACACCCTTGAAACTCAAAACCATAAGGGCAGTGATGACCAAATCTGAACTTCTAGCCCAATACTCTCCTCTGCACCACAGAACTATATATCCTTTGACCCCACTAGACATTTTCACCTAGATCAGGGGTTCTCAACCTGTGCATCGCCACCCCTTTGGGGGTCGAACGACCCTTTCACAGGGGTCGCCTAAGACCATTGGAAAACATATATAATTACATATTGTTGCCCTAACCGGTTTGGCTCAGTGGATAGAGCACCGGCCTGTGGACTGAAGGGTCCCAGGTTCGATTCCAGTCAAGGGCATGTGCCTTGGTTGCAGGCACATCCCCATTAGGTGTGCAGGAGTCAGCTGATCGATGTTTCTCTCTCATCGATGTTTCTAACTCTCTATCCCTCTCCCTTCCTCTCTGTAAAAAAAAAAAAATCAATAATATATATTTTTAAAAAAATAAAATTACATATTGTTTTTGTGATTAATCACTATGCTTTAATTATGTTCAATTTGTAACAATGAAATTGGGGGTCACCACAACATGAGGAACTGTATTAAAGGGTCACGGCATTAGGAAGGTTAAGAACCACTGACCGCCCTGACCGGTTTGGCTCAGTGGATAGAGCGTTGGCCTGCGGACTCAAGGGGCCCAGGTTCGATTCCGGTCAAGGGCATGTACCTAGGTTGTGGGCACAGCCCCAGTGGGGGGTGTGCAGGAGGCAGCTGATCGATGTTTCTAACTCTCTATTCCTCTCCCTGCCTCTCTGTAAAAAATCAATAAAATATATTTTTTTAAAAAAAAGAACCACTGACCTAGATGGTCCCTACATGCCTCAAACGCAACATCTAACTAACACTAACTTCACCAACTTCTCCATATAATGCAGTGGTTTTCAACCTACCTAATGCCGCGACCCTTTAATACCGTTCCTCATGTTGTGGTGACCCCCAACCAGAAAATTATTTTTGTTGCTACTTCATAACTGTAATTTTGCTACTGTTTTGAATTGTAATGTAAATATTTGATATGCAGGATGTATTTTCATTGTTACAAATTGAACATAATTAAA